AAAAATAAACTAAAAAAAAGTGCTTGGAAATGTGGATGAATTGAAGATCCATTGAATTTATTGAGTTAAAAAATAAAAAAAATTGTCCCGCCCTCGTGACTAGTTGGGCGCCGAGAGTGCGGGAAACGCCTCGGCGCATTCTCCGCCATTCTTTCTGCAATGGTGTAGCAAGTAGCAACACGGCGGACGTGGTGATGGAGCGACAAGGCGGGATTTGGGCTCCCATTTTTATTGATGATTTGATAAAAGAAAATATTCTTGTACATTCTATTTTGTAGAATTTTTGATATACTCTTTAGTGTTTAAATAGATAAATTTTACTCCATATTTTTATTGAATTAAACTATATGTACACCAAAAAATATACCCTATTTTATACTACAAAAGCACGCATCAATATTTTATGCTAGTGTGCTGATTTACAATGATACAAAATGTCAGTGTAATTTTTTTGATCAGACTAGTATCTCTATGACAATGTGAACCTTTAAAATACTGATGCATTTCTTTAGAGTATAAATTGAGATACATTTCTTGATGTAGTTTGATTGATTTTTATTATTTTCATACCCATTTGTAAATAATTTTTTCTAAAAGCAAAGAATTTTGGGATGAAGAGAGTATATAATTGTAAGTTTTAAGCAAATTTTTAGATAAATTTAATTAAAGAAATAATTTTGAGAAATTTACCTAAATAGGACTAAAACATAATGACTTTCCCAATATAGGACTATATGTTTTTATTTTTCAATGTAGGACCTTTGGTCATTATGAAGTAGTCATTATTCAATTAAATGTCCATCATTACTGGACATTATTCCTCCCACTAGGTCATTATTAAGTCCTATTTAGGGAATAAAAAAGTTTAAGTCCTATGCTAGGAAAGTCATTATATTTTAGTCCTATTTAGGACAAATTTAACAATAATTTTCAGTAGGGAGTAATTGGTTATGGGGGTGGGGGTGAGTGCCAAAAGGGAAATGCTTGGTTCACAAACTCAAACTTTACAAACTTCACAAACTTACTATTTGTGAACTTCAATGAAGAAAATTAAATAGTCTAAAATAATTTTAAAATGAGAATTTAAACCATAAATAATAAGTTTGTGGAGTTTGTGATCATTCCGTTTGTGAACTTAGCATTCCTAGTGCCAAAAAGGATGGCCCATCATCACTTTTCCCACGTAAAAACAGAGCGGCCCGGCGACACCAACGCTGAAAGAATCTCATGACTTCCCACAGACTGCACCACCATATACTCCTTCCTCTCTCTACATTCTAGAGAGAGAGAGAGATTGATTCAGAAATCAGAAGTAAAGAACAAACAAAGCATTTCTCTCCTTCCGGAACAGGGAGAAGGGACAGTGTCTGTGTGTAAGTGGTGGGTGGCCGAGGATGAAGCTCGCCGGGAACTCTGCCGCCGCAGAATGTAGAGCTCGCGGCAGCAATGGTGTCGGCAGCGGCGGAGCAGTGGTGGTGGTGGGCGTGAAAATGGATTCCCGGAGCAAAGAGCTCCTCACTTGGGCTTTGGTCAAGCTCGCCCAGACCGGAGACCGAATCGTCGCTCTTCACGTTCTTGATTCCGACACCGGTGCGGAGATTGCTCACACTCGCAGATACAAATCCTTTTTTTTTTAAATTTTATTCCGCTCAAATATCATTACATAAAATTAATTTCTGGGTAGCATTTTAGTTTGCCCAGTGTGTATTTATCTCTCCGATCTTCTCTCTGTTTGATTCCGGAGACAGATAAATCGGAGATGCTCAGATTGGTTAAGACCTTTGATTCTGTGCTGGCAGCTTATGAAGGTTTCTGCAACTTGAAGCAGGTCCTTTTTATTTTATTTATTTATTTATTTTGGGTGGGTTTGTTTGTTTAATACACAGATAAGGTTCTTTATTAGCTTCCACATTTTAGGCTATGGCATTATTTGGCATTCAATTCTTTCATATTTATGTGTTATTCCCAATTATGGAGTTATGGGTCGCAATAAATGAAGCTGATCTGAAGGTCATGTTTCTGTTTCCACATTTATCAATTGTTATTGTTGTGCAATTCCAAATCCCTGAGTGTGGGTCATATGATGTTTGCAAAGGTTGATCTGAAGCTCAGGGTGTGCAGAGGGTCGCCGCCTCATAAGATTATTGCTCGCGAGGCGGAAAGCTGTGGAGCAACTGTTCTGATCCTCGGTACTTCCGGGACCCACCATGCCGCCAGGTCGTCTGTTTCGGTGGCGAGGTATTGTGCCAGGAATGTTGACAAGAACGTCTCAGTTGTTGCTGTTAATAACGGCAAGGTCACATTTCGGCGTGAGATGAGTGTGTCTGTAAGTCATGAATCTTGTACCCCGGGCATGCCCCAATCAAGATTCAGGAAGAGGAAGGCATTGCCCAAAGGCCCTTCGGGCAGCTCTTTGGCTCTGGTGCCCGTGAAAATTGTGAACGTGCACGAATCGAAGTCGCAGTGGACATTCCTTAGAAGGGTTTTTCTTCAGAGCCATAAAGAATCTGGAAATTCTTCCCCAAACAAGTTCTCTGTTGTGCAATGGGTTCTAAGACTACGAAGACATTCTGATGAAAAACAATTTGGGTTGAATGAAAAGAATGGTGAAATCGTCCCTGCCCCTATCCATTCCACATCTGTTATTCATAAAGAACTGGATGGTCTTTCGGCAAAGTATTCTTCCATTTGCAGACTGTTTAAATACCAAGAACTTCTGTCTGCAACGTCTAATTTCACGCCTGGTAAAAAAGGAACAGATCTTACTTAATTTTACCATGCTCTTAAGTTTTGGGCTGATCATTATTATTATTATTATTATTATTATTTTTCCAATAGAGAATTTACTTGGAAAAGGTGGGAGCAGTAAAGTTTACAAAGGGTGCCTTCCTGATGGGAAGGAACTGGCTGTGAAAATTCTGAAGCCATGTGAAGGTTCAGAGAAGCAATTCTGCTCAGAAATAGAGATTCTTACAGCTTTACACCACGAGAACATAATTTCACTTTTCGGGTTCTGTTTTGAAGAAAACAATCTTCTGTTAGTGTATGATCTCTTGTCCAGAGGAAGCCTTGAAGACAACCTCCATGGTATTCTTTCTGCATAAATGTATAATAATATTCAGAATTGTTTTTTTTGTTTTACGGTAATGATGGATGATTAACTGTGCTTTGAACGTGCCTAGGTACACGAAATGTAGGAGACTTGTTCGGTTGGCAGGAAAGGTACAAGGTTGCCTTAGGGGTCGCCAAGGCATTGGACCATTTACACAATACAGCTAATGTACCTGTCATTCACCGGGACGTGAAGTCCTCAAATATTCTTCTTTCAAATGATTTTGAGCCAAAGGTGTTTATTTAAATATGAATTTATCTTTCTTTTTTTTATGCAATGAATCAATATGTTGTGAGAATGCAAGATGTGTTATTAACATTAATCTTTGGGGTTTTCAGCTCTCTGATTTTGGACTTGCAACATCTACTTCATGCCCTTCAAGCATATTGGATGGCATTGATGTTGCCGGGACATTTGGGTACGTTTCATCTTTCCTCTTTGTAAAATATTAAATCCTTTTCGGACTTGGTTGATGACCCCTTTTCCTTTGCAGATATTTGGCTCCAGAATATTTCATGCATGGAAAAGTAAATGAAAAAATAGACGTATATGCATTAGGGGTCGTCATGCTTGAACTTTTGTCGGGTAGAAAGCCAATTGATAGTGCACATTCCGAAGGCCAAGGAAGCCTGGTCCTCTGGGTAAGCTCATATATGTTTTTGCCATTGAAATGGACAAAATGTGGAGTTTATTTTTCAATTTTTATTATTAGTTACCTCTATCTCACTTGACATGATGATGATGATTAGCCTTTGTGTTCAACTTTTGAGCTGGGTTTCAGGCAAAACAAATATTGAGGAACGGGAAGAGTGTCGAATTGCTAGATACGAGGTTGCTAAATGGATATAACCACGACGAGTTTGACAGAATGATTTTAGCTGCAACACTTTGCATCCGAAGGGAACCTAAGTTTCGTCCCAAAATTGACACGGTAAGCACGTTATCCGTCTTGATCAATTGACTCCCATCCTTGACTCACAATAACCAAGTGGACAAAATTCACAAAAAGCTCATATCTGAATCCATATATTTACTTACATTCATATAGGTTGTAAGACTTCTGCGGGGCGAACCAGAGGCAATTCAATGGGCAAGGCAGCAGAAGCTGAAGAGTGCAGATGAAGGGGATGAAGTTGGGGATGAACAGCCTGCAACAGCAAGAATCCAATCTTTCATCAATCTCGCGCTGTTAGATTTGGAGGACGATTCACTCTCAATCAGCAGCGCTAGCAACTCAATATCTGTGGATGATTACCTGCAGGGAAGATGGAGCCGATCGTCGAGCTTTGATTAGACGTTTCTCGTCAATATACTCTGTAGATAATAAAAAGGAACTTCGCTTTCGCTTTCTCCATTTTTTTGTCACCCCATTGGTCTTGTTGGATGAGAGGTAAGCAAGCTAATGGCCTCCTCCCGGCTAATTTCGTGTTTTGGACACCTTTGTAATCTATCATTTGGATACTAAATCAGTAAATCCTGTGCAGTGTATAGGATGTTTCAACTTTGTCTTAGAATGGTGTAACTTTAACACTGATCTACTATTCCATTTCAATCTCATCACACCAAATGTGACATCAAAAGGAGTGTTCCCTTTTTCTATTAAACAAATATATTTAGAATCTTGAAGCATTAAGTCATCACTTTTACATGAACAAATACTACATTCTAATCGAGTCAAAAGTGCTAACGAAAGTCATCACTTTTACATTTTCATGCCACGGAGCATTTTGCATGAATTTAATTAATGTCATGCAATTAATATGCATTTACTACCACCAAACCAAGTAGTTGGGATTAAGGTACTATAATGACCATGATGATGGAACTCATCACCATCCCTTAGTGCCCTCCAGAACCGACCATACAATTTAGCTTGGCTGGGACTGGGAGGGTAACTCGAGCTTTAATCACATATTGATTAAGAGAGAGCCGAGTCCATTTGGTACTCTAGACAAAACCCCGAACTCAGGCCTACCTTTCTGGCACCCCTTATCAAAGGACAGTGGGTCTTTGAATAGCCACCACCACCTGATTGCTACCTCCTGTAAGGCTTCAAGGGGTACCCTTCAAACTCAGTGCTAAAAGTTATGGATTCCTCGTCAAGCCTTTTCTTCAATCTCCTCCAAGTTCTCAGCATATCAGACTGTATCAAGCCTGAATATAACGTCTCGAAGGTGACCTTCTGTGGGAGAAAGCCCTTCTCTATCATCTCCATGAACAACTCACAAGCATCTCTCCATTTCTTCTTCTTGCAGAGCCCATGAACCATCAGCGTGTACGAGTCCAAATCCGGACCTATTTCGCTGTTTTTCAAATCGTCCCAAATCTCCCTGGCAAGTCCCAGTCTCCCCAAGCTCACAAACATCCCCAACAGTATGTTAAAAGTTGTCTCACTAGGTGAGCACAAGGACCCATCTTTCATTTTGCCATACAGCCTCAATGCGCCGTCAATGTCTTTCCTGCCCCTGTATTCCTTGAAGAAGCAGTTGAGGGTGGCTGCAATGGGGGTAACCCCGCCGCTCACCATTTCTTCTAGAAGCTTCTCTGCGTCCCCAATCCGCCCACAAGAGCAAAGACACTTGACAACTGATGTGTATGATGCTATACTTGGGCATATGCCCTTCTCCTTCATTGCCCTCAGCTTCTCCAGGGAGAGATCAGGTTTATGTGCCCTGCTGTAGACATGGAGTAAGATTGAGTAACTTGTAACATCTGGCTCAACTCCTCTCTCTCGCATTTCATCGAACACCTTCTCTGCATCCAAGATCACCCTCTCAAACCTCCCATCCGGATGCAAACTGGCTCTCCTGCAAATCCCATTCAGCAACACATTGTAAGTCACAGCATTTGGGTGGATTTGTTTATTGATCATCTCCGCGAAGAACTTCTTTGCCATGTCAATCTTCTTCACCTTGCACCAGCCGTATATCAGGATGGTATAGATCTTGCAATTGACATCAACCCTCCATTTCTCCTTATTGAACACCTCGGTGGCAACTCTCACGTGCCCGTACTTGCAGAGGGTATCGAGGAGATAGCAGAAGTACAAGTTCCAGACATCGTCCTCTCCGTGTTCATCGATGAAGACGAACATTTCGCTGAAGGCGCGAACGGCTTGCCTAGTAAATCCGGCAGAAATGAGTCTCCGGATCAGAACGTAGAAGGTCGTGAAATTGGGCGAGATTTTCTTCTTTTCCATCTCGATGATGAGCTTCCAAGCGACATCGAATTGCCGGACTTTGGAGAGGATGTCGATGAGGAGGTTGAAGGCGGTGGCGTCCAGCGGGGAACCGGGGTAGGACTGGGAGAAATTGAAAAAAGCGAGGGCGACTTTGGAAGAGTGTCGGAGACGGAGGAGGGTTTGGTGGACGAGGAACGGGGAAAGGGAAATTCCGGTGAGCTGAAGGGATGATTCCGTCGGGTGGAAGGGGTTGTGTTGTTGGAGGAGAATCTTGGCGATCAAATCGGCGTCGTCAGAGGGTTGGATTTGGGGGAGATATGGCTTGAGAGCGCCAGATTCGGAGGCAAATTCATAGTCGCAATGGTGGTCGGAAGTTGCAGAAGTAGAGCAGAAGCGGCGGAGAACGGCGGCACTCGGGGAAGGGAGAACGCGGGAACGAAACAAGCACGAAGCCATTTTTAGGTGAAAATGACGGAAAATCTTCGTGCACACATATTAGTGGATGAGTTTCCCAACGGGTTCCGAATTATAATTAGTTTCATTTTTCAATTTTTTAAATAGATCTTCCCAAACACTATTCACAGAGTCAAACTTTACTCACTTTGTTTGCTCAATTTTACTAGTCATTTCATAAAATAGTATAGTCTTGTCACCTCTAGTTTTGTAGAACTTTTCATGTAGTTTATTACTATATAAATTTTATTTTAAAATTTTACTCCTATAATCAATTAAATTGAATTGAAAATAATGTCGGTCAAGCCTCGTAACGCGTAATGGGAAGATCATACATGGACGGAGGGAGTATCTTATATTAAAAAAACACCTAACACTCGTCTCTAGTATTTATACAGCATATCTATACCATACATATACGATGTTTTTCATACCTCTATATAAATATTCATTTTGAACATAACTGATATAAAAAAAATAAACTAAAAAATAAATATTCAGTAGCTTGAAAATGAATATTCAATAATAATTCTTATTCATGTGTATCAAACGACAATTAATTTGTCATGGATTCTCCCATCTCATAATCATCTTTATATATATTGTCCCATCATTTTCTTTCACTATCACTTTAGAGAAAAAATTAAATGCCGCTACACAAACTGCAACTATACAAGTTCTACATTATTAAAAATCATGTCAATTTCATACAAGAAATAATTATGAGAGGGAAGGACTAATTAAATAATGGAGTAAAAAGAGTAAATATGCATAAACAACAAATGTGTCAAATAATTCATTTACAAGCAAATCATCATCTCTTACCAAACAAAGCTGACAAAAAACAGCTAACAAAACCAATTCTAACAACTAAACATCTTGATAGGAAGTCAATTCATAAAGAAGAACTTCTTGCTCCACAAAATGTCAAAATGAAAAAGAGAAATATATGTACAAAATTACTAAACTAGTCTGTCTATCAAGGGAAAAGAATCAAGTATACATCTGCTTGGTAAAAACTTGGTCATGCAATTTTGTGTACACAGCCCCCACAGCAGAAAAATCAATATCAAATCCAAAGGTTTGGCCTCCATAAAGCACATACAGGTATTCTTTAGAGGATGGCGGCGGAGGCAAAATTTCCAGAATACCTGGAAATTCCGAAGTGGGAGGAGAAGGCAAATCTTTCTTTCTTGAGTAGTAAACGTCGGATAAGAGAAGCCATATCAGATCAGGGTCGATTGAAGCAAGTCCAACAAGAGCATTGACAGAAGCTTCTAGAAGACCTTTGACGCCGCTGAATGCAATGCCAACCACCAGACCACTAACCTTCTTGAAGACAGCATCTAATGCAGGAGCACTTCTTTTGGTTCTAGCCAGGTCTGAAATCATGTTGAGCAGTTCGGCCTGGACTTTGAGGCTGGAGATTTCACCAACTGAATCGTCCTCAGAAGATTTGGAGCTTTTTCTGTAAGGTAGTTGAAGAGGGACTCTGTCCTGTTTTGGATGAGATTTCTTTTGAAATGGTGATGTTGTTAGGAGTTTCCAGAAATGGATTCCGTCAGTGTGAAAACGGCGCGCAAAGAACTCTCCTCCACAGATTTGGACCACCGTACTAATCACACGACAGCATCTTCGAGTGGTCTGTAAAAGTGTAAAACATTCATGAAGAATTAAACACGCTTGAAAGAAACTTGCCACTGGATTTTGGGCTATTACTCAAAGAAGGCAGGGTGGGGTGGGGGTACTTACCACCGGATTCTTATTACGGACGCAAGCAACTAAGAACGGCCAAACTTTGTTCATTGCAGGGAGTAATCTGTTTTCTCCTGTTTCGTCATCAACATTATCCTGATGAACGTGGGGAAAGCGAGAGAGAATAAAATCTTCAACTGTCTCTTTGGTTTTACTCTCGTGTTTGTAGGCTTCTTCCACTTTAGCTAATGCAAGTATTCCATCCTATAGCACAAACGAAGGACATTACAAACTGACCAGCTTGTAAACAAGTCCAAGAAAGCTAACTTTATTTTGCAAAATTAAGGACCTGATTGGTGAGCAAAGCATGATTGATATGATGATATGACTACATGAGTTCTGAAATCTAGAAGAAATGATATGGGTTCTGAAATCTGAAACGGAATTGTTTGAAGATATCTGGCAGGGGGTGGCCAAGTGGCCAACGGAGGACCCAGATGGCTGGTGGGGGGGGGGGGGTTGTGGCCGGCAATCAAAATCCCCGGATTGATATCTCCCAAATTCGGGAGATAACAAAAACACTCCCATTTCAGAGGGTTGGGATATTCGGAGATACCAAATCCGAACACTGTATAGGCAAATCGGGAGAAATAAAAACCATATCTCATGTGCTCACCAAACAGGCTCTAACCTTTTTTAGTATTAATCTAACTAAAATCTCTAACTTATTTTTCAAGTCATAAGAAAATTACAAAGAGAGAACTGTACCACAACTACATCCAGGGCAATCAAACATGCTGCTTGATCATCTGAAGCAATTAACGGAGTGGCAGCGATTATACATGACCCAGCAATAGATCCAACTGCTCTTCGATATATTCTTGAATCATTCAAATTGAATAAGATTGACTCCCAATCCTCTTCTTGCAAATCAGCACCGCTAGAGCAACTTTCTGTCTTTTTATCTGGAACAACATTACAAGATTTTTCAATGAATCAATTATCTTTCATTTGCAAAATAAGGACTCTCTTATTCCAATTTTTGACACGATATATCTTTTAACTAGGGAAAATAATTAAAATAAAATAAAATAATCATTGCCCTTTCCTTTTTTCTACTATGGCATTTTGCATGCTAAACACATAAATCCAGGATGGGATATACTTGTAATTAACTAGATAAGCCATTAGCGGTAGTGTTTTCAGGGACACTCACCAGAAATCTCAGAACCTATATCCATAATATGTGAACTGGAAGAAAAATGTTTTCCCTTTTCCTTGTCCATATTTGATATTTTAAACTTCACTTCCTTTAGAAATGACTCTGCTTTTTCTGGCAGTGCACAAGCCTCTTTACTGGAAGCCTTGGTTATTTCAGCGACAGCCTACAGAGATTAAGGAAATCAACAAGGTCGTCAACAAAAGAAACTACGATACTCCCACCCTTCCTAAAAGTGGTCATATTTGTATAACGGAGCTAGTTTTTCGTATAAATTGCCGAAAAAGTTACAAATTCATTATGTACATCATAAATTTACTAGAAGAAAAAAACACTCCAGGTAAATAATAAGTTGGATTCGATGACTTTTAACCTTTAGTTGTACCTTCCCAGAACTAACCTTTACCAAAGATGACTCTTATTTGCGGGTGTTTGGCAGAGGGAATTTTTTTAGAGGTGTTAAGGATGCTAGTTTACAAAAATCCTGAGATAATATGATGGCTCCTAGTTCGTTCAATGAGTAACAACGAGTAGGTTTACCATTGAAAATGGATTAATAAGAAGGGAAAAAAAGTATCAAGGCAAACGGATGACAAATATCTGATGTTGTAATACAAGTAAAAACAACATAGGTAAAGATTGCTAAGTCAGAAATAACCTTCAAGAAGGGAGTGGTCAAATGTGGGTGCTGGTTTCTGCCAAGAATTTCAAGCTCCATAGCCACAGCACGCATCTAGACACAATTAACAAGGTAATAAGATCTCACCTCTTTAAAATGGCTATGATCACAATTTCACAACAAACAAGAAACACTTAAAGTTCATTTTCAGACAATAAAATCATACCGGCTCCTCCAATAACGGCAATACTTTATCAGCAACTCCAACATAAGAAAGCATAGCAGAAAGTAAATTTGGAACATGAGGGTTAAGATCCAAATGACGCAGTTGCTGACATATAGAATCAATTACGTAGTCTGCATTTGCCAATACCAGGTGACCTACCTGCAAGAATTACTTGATTTATCTCGGAATCAAACTACACACAGACATCAAGCATTGTCCATAGCCAGAACTCACCGATGGACAGTTGTTTATAGTGGAGATTACATGTAAAACAGCGTCAGATGCCCTTCTGATGTGAAAATTTGAACAGATAACATTTTCAAGCATCATATAAAGTGAAGAATGAAGAAATCCAGATGAAGAAAATTCTTTCCCAAGACAAATATTAAATATGCCAATTCCCTCAATAATAACCTGTTGAGGAAAACATATGCAAAATCAATTGAACGAAGTATACAAGAATAAATTTTATATGACAATTTTAGTCCAAGAATACAAGTAACAAAATTTCAGGTGAAAAGAATGTTTTACCTGCTGTAGCATTGCGTTGTCATGGAAAAAGTATGAATTTAAGTTTCCTTCTCCATCAAAATGGGAAACGGAACTACTCTCCAGTGGAAGATCCCAAATTTCGGAGGATAGATATTCATGTAATATGTTACCAATACAGTCTATCAACTGGATCCTTGCATTTCCATCCTTGTTGACATTCCAAACACATTCCTCTTGTGCATTACCCACAAATTCACAATATTCACCATTATCATCAGCATAAAAGCACTCACCATTCCCACTTAGACTGGACTTCCCAAACATGGTTTGAAAATTAGCTATAACTTGATCAGAAATTCCATATATCATTTCATTCAATATACATGCAGCAGTACTAGCCTGTCGGACCAACTGCCCTGAACCTGTTCTCTTATACCAAGACAGCCAGCTTTCACTATGGTATCCTTTTGTTCGTACCTCAGAAATTAATTTACGCAAGTGTCCAAGTGGAATATCAGCTATAGCAGAAAGGGAACCTTCAATTTGAGAGTCTGGATAAACCAAACAAGTGAGTTACATTACGTTTAAGAGCGAGAGCTATGTGAAAATAAAAGAAACAAATACAAGAACTACGACAATGACAGCAACAGTAATAAGGACATACAAGTACCTGCAAATAAACATCTACCTACAAGTCTAAGAATTCCAGCCAAAGCTTGGTAAAGATCATGGCTGCCAATGTTAACAAACCAAGGTGGCACGCGAGGAAGCTCATACTCAGTATGTACATTTTCAGGCAAGGATACTATTTTCCTGTTTTGAAGAACTGAGCGCTCTGAATTTTCAGATTCAGCCTTAATTACAGCATTTAATTCTGCTATGGACCGCATAAATCCAGAGGATGATGTTCTTGCTGATACAAGCTTGTCAAGTGAACCAACAAAGGCTGACTTGTGACTCAGACAAAAGAAAAAAACGTCCAAGAATTGAGCAGCTTTCACCTGTACCGTCATGATAATACAAAAGTTTCTTAATGAAGAAGACCTAATCCGTCTTAGCTCAAAATGAAAACATAGATTCTCTGGTAATAATTACATCAAACTTGTTTGTTTGCAGGTTTAGACACATGTTCTATAGAATAAGAGGGCAAATTTATTGACTTATTTCTCATTTTTGTTTTAGTCACAATGCCGTGAAGTGCATATTAAAAGACTTAATATGCATGTATTTTTCATAATCAATGCAATTCCTTGGTTCAGCTGCAAAAACCATTTTAGAAACGATACCACATGAGAGAGAGGGGAGAGAGAGAGAGTACTGGAGAATAGATGAGGTAGTCTGCCACAAGATTGGGTCCACAGAAATACGTGATTGCAAGTAACTTTCGGGCATGTGATAGTGGGAGCGACTCTTGACTGCTCATGAGTGCTTGTGGAAGTTTTTCAACAAGCCTGGATATGAAATTTATTATCCATGTTATCAAACTTACTGGCAGGCCATCATCATTAATGTAACTTATAGCAGAGTTAGACAAACTTCACCTGCTAAAGATCTCAGACATATCACTTTCTAGCTGATGTTTTCCCCTGGAGGAGAACATAAGCCTGAGAAATCTCTGAGCAGCTAAAGCAATCTCCTCAGAATCATCACAGACCAAGACACACAAGCACTCCTGCATTGCAAGTAGCGCAACCATTAAATATTTAATACAACAAACCCAGTATAATCCAAACCTTCTTGGGGTCTGAGGGTGAACATGTACGCAACCTTAGTTATTTACCTTACCCTGTACAACTAGAGAGGCTGTTTCCATTAGACCCTTGATGTGTTTACTTTCCACAACTTCATAAAATATAAGAAGGAAAGTTTAATTTGCAATTTTGATCTAATTCATTTTTATCCAAAGCTAAAACATTGTCAAAAATGACCATCGAAGATAACATATGTTACAAGAAAGGCTAGAATGCTAGCTACAGTTGAAGTCCAAAAGGCACCAGTGCCATCTAGGCAGGAGAAGAACTAATGACACTCCAGAACTGAACTTGATCTTAGCATTTACTTGTTAGGGACGCCAGGTCAAAACAATCCACACTGGTCATCCAAGGAGTTGAGATGGGATACAACTTTACATTGAAAATATTTGCTGTATGATTTGTATCTAGAAGACTAGAATACAGTGCAGAAAGTTCGAAATATATACTTCCAGTTCTGCTACAAGCATAAATTCTTCTTAAAACTACAATTGTATTGCCTTGATTCTTGATGCTAAGGTGGATTCAGACTTCAGAGACACTAACTATCCTCCTTGTGTTTAACTTGTCCCTAAGTTTCAGTGATACAAAAGTTTAAAATAAAACCAGGGGAAATAATGAATGCTTCCAGAAAGAATCTGTAGCTAGAAGATAATAGTTATCTTTGTTTGCTATATCATACAAATTCAAGGAGACATACTATTATCTTCATGATAAAAAAGATAAGTAGCTAACTAATCCATACAATACAACTAGATGAAATTAGCATGCATTTACTGAAGGTCCAGCAAGAACCAATATTAAACAATAAGGGTTTATCACTGACCAAATCCAATCAAAGGATGTCATGTGTGTGACATCATTTTTGAATTTTGGAATAAAAAATGGTTCAACACGAATAGCATACAATGATTTGATCCCACTTTTTAACTTAAACAGGTCCCTCATTAGATCCTTCTCATATCATCTGCAGACCATGAGGAACTCAATTGAAGGCATTATAATAAAAATATATATGCAGGCTCACCAAAAGCATTAATCTGCTTGCCTCCAATGTGCGTTGGCATTTTGATAAGAGAACTTGTACAGCGGCAAGAACTCCCTGTCTCACTCTCTTGGCCGGATGAATGCAAAGCTGAAAGATGCAAGACCCCGACTTTTAGTATTTCAAGTTCAGAGTAAGAAGATAATGGTAAAACATGGGATTATTATCAGCAACCTACATGGGGAAAAGTTACAGACAGAAGTCTATCAAGATGAGCGGATGTATTTTTGATCCACTCTCTAGTACGCTTAACACGTAGTGAACCATCCTTGCCAATGGAATTGCTCTTAGCCTTCTCTCTGAAGTCAGATACCATTACACCCTTTTCTACAGATCTTGTCACACACTCGGAATCATCGTCCTCTTGATGTTTAGCAGGGAGCTGACGTAGTTCCTCCAGGAAAGAAGCAATAGGTTTATCTTCCCTTGAAGAAATTCCAGAATGATCATGCATAGGGGTTTTAAGACTAGATACATTAGCAGCATCATCAAGAACTATGATGAGGTATTCTGCAAAACCTCTGATGGCAAGATCAAGGGCTTCCGTACTACCAGCTGCTCCACTAATCATAGATTTTGATAAATGAAACACTTTTCCAATCTGACTAACAACACCAGGTAAAAAGAATGCGAGTGCATCTGCAGAACCAACCTGAATGTGAAGTTAGACGTTAAGTTCCAGTTTTGATATGACGAATGAATATTTGCAAATTGCAAAGGGAATGCCTTTACAAAAAAAGATCAATTACTAGGTGGAACATTTAAGCTATTGTGTCCTATTCAATCAGTCTGTAAATAAAATCTACAAATAGAAGATCTTGGTGTACGGATTGTAACACAGAATTTAAGAAATCTCATCATCATCATCATCAACAAACCCAGTGTTATTCCACAAGTGGGGTCATCCAGTGTAATCACACAAGTGAGGTCTGGGGAGGGTAAGATGGACGCACACCTTACAGCTAAGTATGAGAGGTGGAGATACCTCAGATACTTTTTCAAAGAAACCCTATCATGGGAAGACTTTTTTCTTTATGTATAGCAAGTACAAAGCTCCTTTCATTGCTTTTCTCACATTAACAGATAGTTGGACAACATGCAAATCCCATACAAATAAACAATATGCAATCATGATTCTTTCGCAGAATTCCAAAGTATAATACTCCCTCCGTCCCTCTGTATTTGTCCACATTTGACTTTTGGAACTGTTCATCTAAGCACTTTGACTCATCAAATTCTCTCAATGTGTAAGCCTAAATATAGTCATGTGTGATCTTGTTTGATTTGTCTTAACATATAGATTATTAATATATAATTTTTATAATTTTTTAATATACAAATTACAAGATAAAATGGATTAAAGAAGTGCATTGGATGGTGTATAAAAATGAAAGTGGACAAATACAGGGGGACGGAGGGAGTAGTTAATATGTAGTGTTGAAGAAACTAATATTAATGAAATGAACCATTAAATACCTACAACATAAAATGAGTTTCATTTTATTTATCTTAAAATGCTATTAACATCAGATTAAAAAAAATAGAAATTTTCAAAAGATAAAATATAATGAGTTAATGACAGCACNTACTTTTTCAAAGAAACCCTATCATGGGAAGACTTTTTTCTTTATGTATAGTAAGTACAAAGCTCCTTTCATTGCTTTTCTCACATTAACAGATAGTTGGACAACATGCAAATCCCATACAAATAAACAATATGCAATCATGATTCTTTCGCAGAATTCCAAAGTATAATACTCCCTCCGTCCCTCTGTATTTGTCCACATTTGACTTTTGGAACTGTTCATCTAAGCACTTTGACTCATCAAATTCTCTCAATGTGTAAGCCTAAATATAGTCATGTGTGATCTTGTTTGATTTGTCTTAACATATAGATTATTAATATATAATTTTTATAATTTTTTAATATACAAATTACAAGATAAAATGGATTAAAGAAGTGCATTGGATGGTGTATAAAAATGAAAGTGGACAAATACAGGGGGACGGAGGGAGTAGTTAATATGTAGTGTTGAAGAAACTAATATTAATGAAATGAACCATTAAATACCTACAACATAAAATGAGTTTCATTTTATTTATCTTAAAATGCTATTAACATCAGATTAAAAAATAGAAATTTTCAAAAGATAAAATATAATGACAGCACCTTTGAAACAAGCACTCGGAACGCAACGAAGGCCTCCACACGTAGCCTTAAGCTGCCACGATGTCCTCGCTTGGACTCAGTATCTGCAGCCTTCACACATACTCTAAGTCAGTATTTTATGGCAAATTGCCACCCGGGAGAAAGTGGAAAAGAGCTAATAGTCTGAAATAGAAGATGGGTCTTTAGGACGAAAGATTTACATGCCTTGAGCAAAAGGGAAAGCCAGTGTCCAACAATGGGTGATGCAGGCTCAGATTGAAGGAATGCTAATAGACATTCTTGTAGAACAATGTCAGATTTTGCGACAGCAGGGCCTGGAAACTGAAAATCATATTGATGTAGAAGAATGGGCCAGCCACGAACTTGTTTGCACAGACAGGAGTCGTCAAAACAAGGATGGAGATTACACAACAGAGACTTGAAACACCTTAACACTCCTTCACGAAACTCTTCTGATGCCTCAGATGGAGAGAGCAAAGCCCCATATGTCATTTTCTTAAGGATCACAACCATCTGCATAAAAGATCAGTTTGGTTCCTCAAGAAGCACATTAGGAATTGGGATTTGGGAATCCAGCACAAATCACTAAAACTGAAATGAAAAAAAGGAGTATTTAAAAAAAATGCTAAGCGAAATAGACAACTGAGTGATATATTATAACTACACACACGTAGGGAACCAGGGGAAAAGCCATAGGCAGTACATCCTTTAAATGAATTTTGACACAAGCCAGTAGGAGATTCCTTTGAATCGTTTATACCTGATCAACAGATCCTAAATAGCATTTCTTAAGGAGTTCCTCCAGACAAAGAAGTGTAACTTCTGCCACAGCATCACTAACATCATGTTCTGAGTCACTAAACCATAGTGTTCTATCTTCATAATTTGTCTTTGATAAAGATCTGCAAGTCACTGCTGCGTCGAACAAAAGCAGCAGCGGAAACAAAGTGTAGCTGGAAAAATTAATAAGGATCTGAAGATTAAGCTTTCAGATGCTAAACACAAAATGGACTTTAAAAAAAAGTCTTGAATGCCAAATCATGTTCACTAACTTTTTTTGTCTTGAACATCAGCAGTATCAGTGATAGTTCTTTCACTTCTTTGCAATACACAAATAGATGCATTTACACACACACACACACCCCTCTTTTCTCATACCTGGTACCAACTGTACCATCTGTGATTCACTCTTAACAGAAGTACAGAACTAATAATTAAGTCCTTTTTCAAGCTTCTCCCTTGGGTTGAGTGGTACCAAGACCACCCCCAAGGATTCTAGATAGGAAGCTCACCCGGTTTGAAACCCAATGGGGGCATTCAGCATTGACTCTATGCACTTCGAAAGGTTGAGAAAGTATGTATGAATATATACTACATTGTAATAGAGTGAGTAGTACTAAAATAAAACTTTATTCCACTTAGCATAAAAAATGAGTAGAATGTAAAGTCATGTATACATTCAATAGTCCATGACTATTCAATTCATACAATTACTTCAAGAACAATATCTCAATTGCATTCAGCTAGCTTGCAATAAACAAACAAGTGCATCATTTTTAAAATCATCCATTTCAAGCCTTACACATGTATAATAAAATTACATGAAAATTCTATTCTAAGATTACATTTCTTAAAACTATTAGTCTACTAATCACCCAAATTATCCCAAAAACCAATGAGGAATTTTTGAAAACAGAAATAGTTGGAAAAAACTTTTCTGTAACAGTTAAGCGAAGGATAAAACAACCAAACACGTGTATAAATGGATACTTACTCAAAGAAAGGCTGGAGAGAAACAGGGGATGCTCGCTGAAGAAGATGAAGAAGAGAGGAGAAAGTAGAAGAAGGTTTCTTCTTTGGATTTTGAAGGAAATCCATTAATTGTACACAGTAGAGCTTCAATTCAGAAAATAAATTGCCCTCTTTCAAAGCTTCTTCTTCTTCTACAAATCCACCCGTAATTTCTTTCCTCTCTTCCATACCTGCCACTGTGAAAGAGTCGTTCCGATCAGATTTTCAGAAAGCAAACGAGAATTGAGAGTTGAGCTTTGCAGACGATTGAAATGTAGGTCGAAGTGAAGAAGAAGAAGAATTCAAAGTAAATTAAGGAAAAATAGAGGGTATAGTAGTCTATCCAAATCCATTGGGTAAATTGGATTCGGACTTACATATCTATGGACTACGGCCAACAATTGGGCGGTACGATTTTGGGCTATAAAAACAGCCAACAAAATTTTAATCATATCAATTAGGCCTACGAGTTTGGGCTATAAAAACGGCAAACAAAATTTTAATCATATCATGTAACTCCGTAGTTTTTTCGAGTTTTTTAGATGGGCCGTTAGGGGTACCTAGGGCGGACACAGTATTGGTCCAGTCCGAACTAATTTTGAATAAAAAAATTTATAAAACTTTTTGTAAAAAATAATATTTCTGAAATAAAAAAACATATATAAAACTTTTTGTGAATCAACCTCAAAAAAATTAAAAATAAGCATAAAAAAATAAGGTATTGCTAAATCCATCCAAAAAATGACTATATCCACATCTCTTTCTTATATTTGCTAAATCTACACCCATTAACATAACTTTAACATAGGTGTGGATTCAACAAATACAGAGTATAAGTGAAAGGGGTGGATATAGTCCTTTTTAAAACGATTTAGCAACACCCTAAAAAAAAATAAAAACATAAATAAAATTAAACCATTTCTGGTACCAAAAATCAAGAACTGAAACCTGATTCCGGTTCCCCAGCAGTTCCGGGGGAAATAAAAATTTGTGTATCCTAACTATTTTTCGGGGGCGGG